GATGATACTGTTATCACTGGAAATGACTTATCAAAAAAAAAAATTGATATCACTGGAAATGATCCGGAAGAGATTCGTCAAATGAAGTCATTCTTAGGACAAAGTTTGAGGTTAAAGACCTCGGATCATTGAGATACTTTCTTGGCATCAAGGTGTGCAAATCGAAGAAAGGGGCGTTCATTTCTCAACAGAAGTATATGTTGGATTTGTTGGTTGAAACAAGCAGGCTTGGAGCTAGACCTATTGATATTCCCATTGAGTAGAACCATAGGCTTAATGATGTAGATGGAGACCCATTAGATGATGTGGGAAAATTTCAGCGATTGGTTAGGAGACTAATTTACTTATCTCTCACGCGCCCGGATATTGCCTACGCTGTTAGTGTGATTAGTCAATTTATCCATGCTCCACGTACACCTCACCTTGAGGCAGCTCATCATGTTCTTCGTTACCTCAAGGGTTCACCTGGTAAGGGTATATTGTTTGGCAATCATGGCCACTTGCGTGTTGAAGCCTATATTGATGCTAATTGGGCAGGGTCTATGACAGATTGACGATCTACTTCAAGATATTGCACATTTGTTAGAGGTAATCTTGTTTCATGGCGAAGCAAGAAACACTCTGTAGTAGCTAGATCTAGTGCAAAGGCTGAGTTCAGATTCATGGCACATGGAGTTTGTGAGTTGTTATGGCTACGTACGATGTTGGGTGAGTTGGGTTATCTTGTTTGCGAGTTAATGAAGTTGTATTGTGACAACAAGGCTGCTATTAGCATTGCCCACAATCCAATTCAACATGACAGGACAAAGCACATTGAAGTCGATCGACACTTCATCAAATAAAAGCTTTGTCTTGGGCTGATTTATACTCCATACGTCAATACACATGATCAGGTTGCTGATGTTTTGACTAAGGGTGTGAGCAAGACTTGCTTGCAAAATATGTTAGTCAAGCTGGGCATGATAGATATCTTTGCACCATCTTGAGGGAGAGTGTTGTCAGAGGCTTATTTGTTATTACTTATATAATGTTGGGGCTTATGTGTAATTTTTGAAACTTGTTATTATAAATAAAATGTGGTAGAAGGATGAAAGTATTCTTTCATTCTTTCTTTCTTTCCCCATCTCTCTCTCTTTTTCTCTCATCCGCTTTCTTCTCTTTTTCTTCTTTATCACTTACTCTTGATTTGATTATATCTTAAAGTCAACAAATCTGTCGTCCATTCAGAGGGAACGCCCCCTTCCTTTGCCTGTTCCCATTCAGGGGGAGGTTCCCATTCAGGGGGGAGCTTCTTACTGAGGTGCCTATATCTAGTCCTCCTAAAACTAATGATTTGGATGCTATGATGCCTTATCTCCAACATATCATGCTTTCACTTCGTGTATCTCCTCTGTTTCTGTTCCATCTAGTGTTTCAGATACTCTTAGTCAAACTCTATGGAAGGAAGCCATACTTGAAGAGATGAAGGCCCTTGGAAGAATGGTACTTGGGATATTGTTCCATTGCCTAAGGGTAAGAAACTAGTAGGCTGCAAATGGGTCTACACAATAAAGTATCATGCAGACGGAACAATTGAGAGATACAAAGCCTGGTTAGTTAAAAAGGGCTTCACTCAGACCTATGGGATTGATTATCTGGAAACATTTGCTCCCGTTGCCAAGATGAACGCTATACGTGTCCTCCTTTCTTTGGCAATTAATTTGAATTAGCTTTTACATCAGCTAAATGTAAAGAATGCTTTCCTTCATGGTGACTTGAAGGAAGAGGCGTATATGACTATGCCACCAAGGTTTAAGTTTATCAATGGTCAGAATTTAGTATGCAAGCTAAATAAAGCCTTGTATGGGTTAAAGCAGTCGCCACGTGCTTGGTTTGAGAGGTTCAACACTATGAAAAGAGTAGGGTACACACAGAGTCAGGCAGATCATACTCTCTTCATCAAGAAGCATCAGGGCTTCACCACTGCCCTTATTGTATATGTTGATGATATTGTTATCACTGGAAATGATCCATATGAATAATGAAGTAATTCTTAGGGACAGAGTTCGAGGTTAAAGATCTCGGAACATTGAGATACTTTCTTAGCATCAAGGTGTGCAGATCAAAGAAAGGGGTTTTCATTTCTCAACAGAAGTATGTGTTAGATTTGTTGGCTGAAATAGGCAAGCTTGGAGCTAGACCTATTGATATTCCCATTGAGCAGAACTTTAGGCTTAATGATGTGGATGGAGACACATTAGATGACGTGCGAAGATTTCAGTGATTGGTTGGGATACTGATTTACTTATCTCTCACGTGCCCGGATATTGCCTACGTTGTTAGTGTGATTAGTCAGTTTATACATGCTCCACGAACACCTCACTCTTAAAGCAACTCATCATGTTCTTCGCTACCTCAAGGGTTCACCTTAGGGGTGCACAAAAGAATCGTGGAACCGTGAGAACTGAACCGAACCGAACCGTGGGCTTCAGTTTCGGTTCTCACGGTTCCGATTCCGGTCCCGGTTCCGAGTTTAGGAACCGTGGGTGTACGGTTCCGGTTTTAGTTCCAACCCGTGGGAACCGGTAAGAATCGGAACCGTATATATATATATATATTTAATTATATACTAAAGACTGAAAGTAAACTAAACAGTGTAAATTGTAAAAGACTAAAAGTAACTAATGTTACTAAACTACACTCATCAAGATTGAGGCAGCCACCGAGCCACGTGGTCCACACTAAAGTGACTAAACCACAAAAACATACTTTTTTCATTTTTTGCCCTAAGCTATCCCTCATCAATTCAGTCCTCGCCTCCTCTCAATCTCTCATCTAAACAGACTAACCCTAAGCTAACTTTCGCCTCCTCTCATCGCCCTCGCCTGAGTCGCCTCCTCTCATCTCCTCAGTCCTCATCGCCCTCGCCTCCTCTCAAGTCTCATCTCAAGCTTCCTCGTCGATTCAGTCCTAAGCCATCTCAGATCAATTTCATCATTAATCGTCTCCAACATAGACACCTCGTCCCATTACTCTGTAAGTCCTTGATCGATCTGTCACATATGTTGCTTTCTAAAGTCTTAAACTATTATTTCCATTATCTATCCACTCCTCATCAGTCATTCACTCATTCATCCTCACTCCCATCTCAGATTCCTCACTGAGTACTGAACAAGGGAACAACAGTGTTGTAACAGAGTAAAAAAACCAAACAGTTAGCAGTCGGTTCTCATGGAACCGAATCGGATTCGCTGTTCGGTTCCATACCTATCCGGTTCCCTTTTTAAGGAACCGTTGTGACCGGTTCCGGTTCCGACTAGAACCGAACCGTGTGCATCCCTAGTTCACCTGGTAAGGGGATATTATTTAGCCATCATGGCCACTTACGTGTTGAAGCCTATACTGATGTTGATTGGGCAGGGTTAGTGATAGATCGATGATCTATTTCAAGATATTGCAAATTTGTTGGAGGTAATCTTGTTTCATGGCGAAGCAAGAAATAGTCTGTTGTAGCTAGATCTAGTGCAAAGGCTGAGTTCAGATCCCTGGCACATGGAGTTTGTGAGTTGTTATATGGCTACAAACTATGTTGGGTTAGTTAGGTTATCTTGTTCGTGAGTCAATGAAGTTGAATTGTGACAACAAGGTTGCTATTAGCATTGCCCACAATCCAATTCAACATGACAGGACAAAGCACATTGAAGTCGATCAACACTTTATCAAGGAAAAGCTTCGTCTTAGGCTGATTTGTACTCCATACGTCAACACACACAATTAGGTTGCTGACGTTTTGACTAAGGGTGTGAGCAAGACTTGCTAGCAAGAGATATTGGTCAAGTTGGACATGATAGATATCTTTGCACCAGCTTGGGGGGGGGGGGGGGGGGGGAGTTTTGTCAGGGCCTTTTTTGTTATTACTTATATAATGTTGGGTGCTTATGTGTAATTTCTGAAACTTGTTAGTATAAATAGAATGTGGTGGAAAGATGGAAGTATTCTTTCATTCTTTCTCTCTTTCCCCATCTCTCTCTCTTTTTCTCTCATCCTATTTCTTCCCTTTTTCTTCTTCTTCTTATACCTTACTCTTGATTTGATCATCTCTTAAAGACTTAAAGTTTAACATCTTCTTCATTTTGAAATTGCATTCCTCTGCAAACACAATCCCTTTAATGGAGACACATGTTGGAAGTTAGAAAGTTATGAGAAATAATCTCACCTATAGAATTGGTGACTGCAATTCTATTAAAGTGTTCCTAAATCCTTGGTGGGATGGATTGACTCTCAGCCAAAGGTTTGGGCACACAGTGGTCAGGGATTTTGGTCTTCAGAAAGATGCTTTGTTTTGTTCCATTATTCAGAATGATTCATGGAAGCATGGGGCTTGTAATTCCAGAACTGTTTGGAAATGCTTAGCTTAGGTTTTTGTTGGGATCTTGGTGAAATCAGATCCTTTCAGTAGCTTATTCAATGGTTTTCCAATCATGTTCAACGTAATTCTCAAAGAAAGTCCATTTTCAAGATGCACTTTGCTACCATAGTATGGATTATTTGGAAGGAAAGAAATTATAGACTTCATCATGATTCATCTAAGAGTTCTTAAGTGGGTTGCAAAAGCTTCATGGTGGGAGGTTCTTGATATCATTGGGCTTAACTTAGATGATTTGGCAGGGCGGTAGTTATTTGTGCTCCTTTGTATCTCGTACAGTTTTATTTTCTTCTTACTAAGAAGTGGAGATTTTTCATTCCTTTGGATGTAATGTGAGGTTATTCCCTTACTTCTGTTCTTGTACTTTATTGTTTTTCATTTTAATATATTTCCACATTTAGGGGACAAAAAACTAAAGAGTGTAGTAAAGAAAATAATTTACACATTCAATATCGAAGACTAAAACAGGTCAAAAAACATGTTATAGTGCAAGTCCAAAAGGTAGATTATTAAACATATATGCCCAAATTATGTAAACATGATTTGTATATCTAGAAAATAGTATGGTAGATTTATAAATAGGGGAAACATTTACCAAGACATGAACTGGCACATCCTTTGAGGAAAATCTGGAAGCAAATGACTTGATCTCGCTGACAGATGAAAGATCACATACCTGTGAGCATAGTTATATAAGCATTTCATATGAAAACACAAGTGAACATATCTTACAGCTTATTTATCAGGTTGTCAATCAGAAGATCTCAATAAAAACCAAACCCATATTAATCAAAGTCCAATGATAATAGACAAAGCCCTTAAAAGGTACTCAAAGAGCTATACGAAGAGAAAAGGGAAGTCAAATACCTCCAGGTAAACATTCTGGTTGCCAGTCACAGACTGAATTTTAGTAAGAGCAGCTTCTCCCCTCTCCTTATTACGGCATACCATATAAACACTAGCCCCACTGTAAGAACATCAGGCATAAACTAAATATTGACTGAAAATAGTAATAATAAAGTTTAAACTTTAAAATACAGACAGCTAATGGGATAATTAATAAATACAGCACCGTGAAGCAAGACCCTCAGCAGTAGCATAGCCAATGCCGGAATTAGCTCCTGTAACTATGCAGTTCTTTCTCTCTATTTTTGTTTGCATGTCTTCAGGTTTGAAGTTTTTCGAGTGCTCCCTGGAAATTCATAAACCACACATGAATAAATTATAAATAACAAATTGGAGTTCTAACAACTCCATAACATAAAACTGCATTAAGTATACCAATATATTGTAATATCTATCAAATGCTCAAAACTACTGTTGCTAAAGAATGGGGACGTTAGAGTTGTGGCTCAAATTCTGGTAGTGAATTCTATTCTAGACAAGTGGAACCGGTTCCGCTTTAATAGAACCGCTTGCACTTGGGTAGAATGGTTGAAATGATGTTTAAAGAAGCGGAACCAGTTACACTTTAGTGGGACCGGTTGTGCTTGCCTAATATGTGCAAGAAATAGTTTCTTAATCAGCTTTGGAAGCCAAAAGACTTGGGAAAAAGGCTGAAGATTTGGGGAAGAAGTTGTGCCTGCTATTTTAGAGTTGAAGATTGATATGGTAACTCCTTGTAGGCAAGTTACGAATACTTGTCCAACAAGAAATTGGGTTTTGAAGACTCCATAAATAGAGATGGGTTTGGGTAAAGAGAAAGAGAATAAAGAAAAAATGTAAAGGGTTTAAGGGCGAGTGTTGTGAGGAGAGGGGAGAGTATATATAATTCCCGAGTGTATACATATAGCCTCAAAAGAGATGACGAGTGAGTGAGTAGTGTTTTGACATCTGGTTGTATATTCTCTTCATTGATTCATAATAGTGAAAATCTCTCTATGAACGTAGCCCTAAAGTTTGGTGAACCATATAAAATATTGTGTTGTGTGTAGATGTGAATGATTGTTATCTCCATATATGCTTGTGTTGATGTGATGTGATGATGCATCCACTGTATGTGATGAATGAAGGATTTAACTCTCAACAACAGCTGAGCGTTGAGTGGGTTGGAGGGGGTTAATTAACCCCAACAGGGGGCATAATTATCATTCATGCAAATCCCATTATGAGCATAATGGCACCGCTTTGTTTAATCATTTCCTTATGAATTCAGAACTTCTAGCTATTAATAAATAAGAGATGGATTGACATTATAACTCCGGGAACAATTTTACTCCATTAGATGCAAAGTTTTACCCTTGAACCTTGCAAAAAAAATACGGAGTAATATTTATCTTTGAAAATTACATTGGTTCACAGTTTCAAATTCATGTAATTTAACCATAATTTTACAGGTGATGACAATTTACCATATAAACAAGATTCAAAACCCATTTACATTGTTACACTGACACAACCTTTCATGTACTTACCTGAGTCATATGTTCTACATCAGATGCTGTTGGTGATATTTTTAAAATATATATATATATATATATTGTTGACCTTAAATCTAAGACTTTTGATGATTACAATTCATTAACGATGTTCTATGCGTACTAATATCTACTTTAAGTTAAATCACAGCTCTTAGCATCCATCAAGGCATATCATGAAAGCACAGATGAAAAGTTGCACCACAACACAGAAGGATCATGAAGGAAATACTAAAGACATCATGTCTCAATCAGAAGCTATCAAGATCATCCTAGCAATCAAACGATCATGCAAATACTAATGAAAAAGGGGTAGCTAAGGTGGTGAGTGAATAGGAACCTTTGTCAAAGTATGTATGAACATTTTGAAACTCATATATCTAGGGTTATACATTAAATTACTTACATCATAATCAAGAAACATAAAGAATAAACATCATCTATAAATTAGAACAGGTTTCTTGAAGGTGAAGTTCCATTTCGGCCGACCGAAATGGAAAGACAATTTGAATCGGACGACCGATTTGGGCAGTAGCTAAGCTAAAACTGAAGTCACAACCGGTCGACTGAAATGCCATTTCAGACGACCGAAGTATAGCTGCAACAAGGCCTCAGGCTAATTCGGACGACCGAAATAAAAGCCTAATTCATTTTGGCCGACTGAAGTAAAAAAAATGCAAGACAGCCTCTGGTTATTTCGGAAAACCAAAACAAACTGGTGATTCATTTCGATCGACCAACTTAGCGCGGATTCAAATTTGAACGGCTATTATACCCTGAACTGTGTGCCCAACAGCTATAATATGTATCAGACACATCAGAAACTCTATATAATGAGTTGTTGTCTAAAGAAATAGTGTGGAACAGTTGAGATACATATTTCTGAAATCAAAAGGTCATCCAACCAACATTCATACATCTTATATCATCAATAGAGTATTAAGCTTCAATCTATTCATACATACTCTAGAGTGAGCTGAAATTTGTACTACTAATCTGTGAGAGATTATCTTGTACTGCATTTCTCTTCTTCAAACTTTGTAAGGGTTGGTGTGGCTTAAGGAAGACTAAGAGAAGGTGGTTCTCTTAGCAATTTGAAGCAAGGAGGTGCTTCTTGTAAAAGGTTAGCTCTCCACCCGTAAGGAGAAGCCATAGTAGATTGGGAAGTCTCAAGAGGGGTCTTGAGCCGAGAAGTAGGAGTTTCCGAACCACGCTAAAATAGCTGAGTACTTATTTGCAATCTCTCTCTTTATCTCTTATATTTATTGCTTAAAGTTCAGCATGAATAATCACTTGATAAATGCTATTAATTGAGGCTTAAAACTCTGTTTTCTTTATTGAACAACTGCTGAGAAAATTAGCTTAGTACTTGCATATTAATTGAAATCAAAAATTGACCATTGTTTGCAACTCTATCACACACACAGTCATTACTTGGGCAACAATTGGTATTAGAGCCTAATCTCTATTGAAAAGGCTTAAATGTATTAGAGAACGATCATGGCAACCTTAAATGGTCACTTTCATCAAGAAGGTCAATCCAATTCTAGACCTCCTTGGTTCGATGGAACAAACTATAGTTATTGGAAAAATAGAATGATAGACTTTCTTCAATCCGTAGACTATCAAATTTGGCTTGTCATAGTTAATGGACCATTTGTTCCAATGAAAGTAGTTGATACAAAAAGTGTTCTTAAAACTGAGGAAGAATGGGACACCGAGAATTATAAACTCATCTCCCTAAATGCTAAAGCCAAAGTAAATCTGAATTGTGCTATAAGCCCTAGTGAGTACAATAGAGTTTCCACATGCACCACAGCTAAAGAAATCTGGGATAAACTTCAGATTACCTATGAAGGAACATCACAAGTTAGAGAATCTAAAATTGATATTCTTATGCATCAATATGAACTATTTCGCATAAATGAAAATGAATCTATAAGTGAAATGTTTGTGAGATTTACTGACATTATAAATGGCTTAAAGCGTCTTGGTAGAACTATTACTAATTCGATCATGCAAGGAAAATTCTAAGAAGCTTACCTGAAAAATGGGATACAAAAGCTACAGCAATTAAGGAAGCTCACAATCTCAACACACTTGAGCTTGATGAACTTCTTGGCTCTCTTCTTACATGGGAGATCGCCCTGAAAGATAGAGAAGGAGATCATCATCGAAAGAAAGAAATTGCTCTCAAATCCTCTCAAATGGAAAAGGAAGCTGCTGGCAACGAAATTGAAAATGATGATCTAGCTCTCATTACTTAATCCTTCAAAAGATTTCTTCAAAGGAAGAAATTCAACAAGGGTAGATTCAAAAAGGGTGAATCATCCAATGAACAAGGCAAACGAGACAACCCTACCTGTTTTCATTGTGGAAAAGCAGGGCATTTCAAAGCTGATTGTCTCATTTATAAAGAGGAGAAGAAAAAGAGAAGAGCAATGCAAGCCACTTGGGAAGATGATGACTCAAACGGTTCCGAAAGCGATGAGGAAAAGGCTATTCTCTGTCTCATGGCAAATAGGGATGAGGTAAACTCTAACCTTGACTCTTCATCTGAAGGTGATATGTCTAATGATGATTTGGTTGATGCTTATAATGAACTACTTGATGTTTTTAAAGAATTACATGATGAACTGGGAAAAATGGTCAAAAAGTGTGCTTCTCTAAGAAGAGAAAAGTTCATCCTTGATAACAAACTTCAAACTCTTTAAAATGAAAATCATTGTTTGAAAAAGGAAAAGGAATGCATCTTACTGAAAGAATCAGTATCACATGATCTTATTTCTGAAAACGAATCCTTGAAATTAATTACTAAAGACCAAATTGATGGTCTAGGAAGGTTTACTCAAGGTACAAAAAATCTGGAACTTATGCTAGGTAGCCAAAGAAGTGTTTTTCATAAACATGGATTAGGATATGATCCTTTTGACAAAATTGTATGCCTATTGAAAAAGAGAAAGTCTTTGGTTAACTATTTTGTTAAAAATGAAGCCAAAAATATTAGATGTAACTATTGTAAAAGAATAGGTCATCTTATTCAATATTGCTCAAAGAAAAGGCTGAAAATCATAAAGAAGTGGGTTCCTAAAGAAACATACATGCCTCTACCTAACTCTTACGGACCCAACAAAATTTGTGTACCAAGTGAAGATTATTGAAAATCTCTCTTGTAGGATGGTTTGAAGGCATCCTCATCTTTCAAAGACAAGTGGTTTTTAGATAGCGGATGTTCAAGACATATGACGGGCGTCTACTCAAAATTATCTTCTCTAAAAGCATACAACGGAGGAAGCGTCACATTTGGTGACAATTCTAAAGGCAAGGTGATTGGCATCGGAACCATAGGTATTTCTTCCTCCTTGTCCATTGATAATGTTTTACTTGTTGAAGGATTAAAGCATAATTTATTTAGTGTTAGTCAACCACGTGACAAAGGATTTGATGTGATTTTTAAAATGGATAAATGCATCGTTAAAAAGAATGGAACTCAAATATTTTGTGCCCCTAGAAGTGGTAATGTGTATACTTTGCTTTTGGGTGAACTTCATGATCAAGATGTTAAATGTTTTATGTCATCAAATGAACATAGTTGGTTGTGGCATAGAAGGTTAGGTCATGCTAGCATAGATTTGATCTCAAGATTGTATAAAAATAAATTAGTCAAAGGTCTCCCAAGGACAAATTTTTCAAAAGACAAACCTTGTAGTGCTTGTTAAATAGGTAAGCAAGTTAAATCTTCTTTCAAAAGGAAAAAGGATATAACGACTTCAAA